ACGTTACAGCACTCTACTGAGGGTGACAATGTGAGACTCTGTAAGGGAAAAGAAAAAGTTATGATGAAGGGCAGCACCTGTAGCTCAGTGGGTAGCATGCCAGCCACATACACCCAGGCTAGCAGGTTCAAACCTAGCCTAGGCCTGCTAAACAATGACCACTGCAACAAAAAAATAGCCAATATTGTGATGAGTGCCTGTAGTTCCAGCTACTTGGGAGGCTGAGGCAAGACAATCACTTGAGTCCAAGAGTTTGAGGTTGCTGTGGGCTGTGACGCCATGGCACTCTGCTGAGGGTGACATAGTGAGACTCTGTCTCAAAAAAAAAAGTTGTGATGGAAATGATGGTGTGTGTAGCAGCCAGTGCATGAAGATGCTGCCCAATGACCCCTGTGTGGGTGTTACATGCACAGAAGAATCTGTTCCCCAATTATTAACTTAATTATAAAATATCCTGACAGGAAGCCTTGGGAGCCTGTCTGTAAGTGTGGAACGCCATGAGTCCTGTTGTCTGTAACCCAGGGACTGCCTGTAGTAGCTCATATGACAACACATTGTGAACCCTAAATTACTAAGCAAATATTGGATGCTTGAAAAAAAATAAATAAAAATGGTGGATGTTTGTGTTGTTAATATTATTGTCAATCATTATTTCAGGAAGTCTAGGACCAGACTGATGGTGGGGGGCTTTGAAAGGGAAGCTGGGGAGCTTGACTTCCCTCCTGCTACTGGTCGGGTGGCCTGGCCTCTGAGGCTCACATGAAGGGGCTGGGCATGGATGTAACCTGGGTGAGGGGCTGGGGGATAGGGTGGGGAGGGGGAGGTCAGCCATGGGGAGTGGTGCTGCTGAGACTCAGGGCCCAGGTGAGGACCCAGGGTGTGGAGGCAGTCATGTTGGCGTGGGTGCCAGGGCAGTTAGGCAACCATAGCCCCCAGCTCACCACCAAGAGATGGGAGGGCTTACATGCCCCTGTGTGACCAGCCAACCCTTACCTCTCCTCGCTTCACAAGCTATGCTCCAACTAGGCTGCCTTGCACCTCTGGGTTACTGCATGAGCTGGCCTCTCTGCCAGAAGTTCTGCCCATCCTCATGCCTTGGCCTGGCCACCTCATTGTCATCCTTCAGGCGCTGCTTGTGTAGGAAGCATTCCCAGGGGCCCAGGGCTGAGCAAGGTGCCTTTGCTTGGTCTTCCCGGACCTCCCCCACTCCACCTCTCAGAGAGCTTATCACAGGCTTGTCTACTGGCCTTTCTGTCTCCCACATAGACCAGAAGTCTCCTGCAAGGGCCTCCTATGATGCCTGGAGCCTAGTGCTCAACATGTATTTGTATTATACATGGTTAGCATGAATTGGTAAGGGCAAGAATGGGTGGTGGGTGGGTAGACATGTGGATGGGTGGAACAGGCACAGGCAGGTGTTTGGTGGAGGAAGCTGGGCACGTGTACATGAATGGAGAGATGGAGGGTAGGTAGTTGGGAGATGGATGCATGAAAGAATATAAGAAATGAAAGGTGGATATGTGAATGGATTAAAGGATGGATAACGAACACAGATGATTGGGTGGGTGGATAAATAGGTAGGCAATGCATTTATCTCGATGGATAATCAGTGCATGGATAGATGGAGGAATGGAGAATGAATGATTGGATGGATGGGTGGGTGGATGGAAGATGAATGATCGTGAATGTGCCTCCCAAAGTTCATATGCCAGGAACTTTATCCTCAGAGCAAGTGTTGAGAGGTGGGACTTGAAGGGATGATTAGGCCCTGAGGTCTCTGCCCTTGTGAATGGATTAATACCATTGTCTTGGGAGTGGGCTCCTTTATGAAAGGATGAGCCTGGGCCCCTGTGATGACGTCTACCCTGCTATGACACAGGAAGAAAATCCGCATCAGGCCAGGCACAGTGGCTCCCACCTGTAATCCCAGCACTCTGGGAGGCTGAGGTGGAGAGCTTGCTTGAGCTCAGGTGTTCAGGATCAGCCTGAGTAAGAGTGAGACCCCATCTCTACTAAAAACAAATAACTTGGCTCAGCACTTGTGGCTCAGTGCTTAATATGCCGGCCACATACACCAGGCTGGTGGGTTCAAACCCAGCCTGGGCCTGCTAAAGACAACAATGACAACTACAAAAAAATAATAATAATAAATAGCTGGCCGTTGTGGTGGGTGCCTGTAGTCCCAGCTACTTGGGAGGCTGAGGTAAGAGAATCACTTAAGGCCAGGAGTTGGAGGTTGATATGAGGGGTGACGCCATAGTACTCTACCCAGGGCAACATAGTGAGATTCTGTCTCAAAAAACAAACAAACATGAGGGTGGCGCCTGCGGCTCAAAGGAGTAGGGTGCTGGCCCCATATGCCGGAAGTGGCGGGTTCAAACCCAGCCTTGGCCAAAAACTGCAAAAGAAAAAAAGAAAGAAAAACAAACAAACAAGCAAACAGATAAATTAGCCAGGTGTTCTGGTGGGTACCTGAAGTCCTAGCTACTAAGGAGGTTGAAGCAAGAGGATTGCTTAAGGAAGCTTGGGAGGTCTCCCCTCCACTGTAGCCTTGACTTCCCCAACCACCCTCCTGGCCTCCCCACCTGCCTCCAGCCCTGCCCCTCTAGTTTGTTGTCCACAGAGTAGTCAGACTGACCAGTGCCGGCTTCACAGTGCACAACCAGTGCAGTCATTCAAGGCCAGAGCGCAGAAGGGCCCTGGGTCTGGCCTTCAGTGCTCTGTGGTCATCTTCTTGAAACCCAATGATTTTAGCTTCAGCCTGTGTTTTGTGAGTGGGTCTGACAAGAAAATGGGGCACGCACTGGGAGCTTGGGGCCCAGCTCACACGTGCCCCACTGTCTTCCCTGCATGAGTTCCTGCCTGCCCGCTCCTGGCCCCCTGGACCTCCTACCAATGCTGCCCCCTCCATCTGGAGGCCTAAACAGGGGCTCAAGTACTGCGGATTGCTGGATTGGCCCCTGGTATCCTGAGGTATGACAAGGTGGTGGCTGTTCCCTCCTAGGCTGAAACTCAATGTAGGCCTCTTGCCCACCCCAGTCTAGATACTGAGCATGTCCCAGCAGGACCATGTAAGTTCCTCCAGGTGGTGGGACCCAGGGGAAGGGGAGATGAACTTTTTTGCCCCTGGTGGTGCTTTGAAGTTTCATTTTGCACCAAGCCCCCAAATTACACAGCCAGCCTCTAAGAGGCTGCTAGAACACACATCTGCCCCCAGGGACACTGACGAGATCCACATCTCTTCCTTTGGCCACCAAGGTCTTACACGTCCCCACCTGCCTGGCTCCTTGGTCCTGGTGCTGCCATCTTAGCAGTGCATATTCCTCCAGCCAGCCAGACACCCTGGGTCCCTGAGGCTGGGTCTCGTGCCCTCTGACCTCTGGCCCTGGCATGTGGGTTGCTCTGCCTAGACAGCTTTTCCCCATCTCCTTGCTCAGAAAGACAGCAGCACCCCTCCTCGCCTCCCTGATCTGAGCTCTCAGTTCCATCCCTGCACTGCCTTTTCATCGTCCAATGGGGGTCTTACAGAACTGTACGCCAGGGCCGGACACTGTGCTCAGGCCAGCTGTCCCATCTGCTTCCCCACAACTTTGCCTGATGATGAGCAGATGTAGGCTGAGAGAGGGCAGCAATTCACCAGGTGTCACACTGGGACAGAGGCAGGCGGAGAGCTTGAATCTGAGGCCAAGCCCATGTTCTCTGTCCCCCAAGGATGAAAGGCTATGGAAAGCCCTCCTTCCTGCCTTGAAAGCGGAGAGCAGTCTGCTTCTCCCTGGAGCGTGAGACGTTGCTCCCAACACTTGGGGCTTGTCCCTGAGGGATGGGAAAAGGTAGCATCTCTGGCACTGTTTCTCTGGGTTTGATTCAGGCCTGCAATCTGAACCCCCCAGACACCACCGTGACATGCCAGGGTGAACCGATCTGCCAAGTTTCAGGGTGTCCCCTTTGCTGGGGGTGGTCTCCGCTGAGCTTCTACAGGGCCTGAATTCCCCTCACCCTCAGGTCTTTCCATCTTACCTCCTAGGACCGAAGAGTAACTCCCCTGCCTGGCTTTTGGCAGGTAATCGTGATGCCTCAGAGCTCAGGGAGGTAAAGCGCAGGCCCCACACTGGAAAGTGAGCCCACAGCAGCCAGGTTCCAGAGTGGGGCTGCACAAAGCCTGTCACGAGTCAGGGGTCCAAGCCAAGACCTTCCTGAGGGCACCCTGGGGAGGGTGGGGCAAGGAGGGTCCAGGAGCCTGTGGAACCTATGCTGAGCCTGGGAGCGGCCTGGGAAGAGAGGGCAGCAGGCAGAGGGAACACCAGACAGAGGTGTGGAGGCAGGGAAGGGTGTGGCCCAGGCTGGGTGGTTACATTTTGATCTGATGATAGTAGGGAGCTATGGAAGGAGTTTGAGGAGTGTGGGGTCACTTATGCCGGAGGTATCTATACTGGCTCTGCCCTGGGGACTGGATGGGAGGAGGCAAGGAGCCCAGCCCAAGAGGCAGTTAGAAGGTCCAGAGATGGCTCCTGAATTTGAGGCAGGGTGAAAGCCATTTTAGGAGGGCAGATACCAGGGACATGAAGGCCCAAGGGTGCTGAGGAAGGCTGTGACGGGGCTGAACCGGGGGTGGTGGTGGTATGTACAGTGCCATGTGCACTGTGTGGCATCAGGGGCCCTGCACACAGTAGGTGCTCAGCAAATGAATGGTTGAATGACCTCCTTGTCCCTAGGTCAGCTCCCGTGACACTCCCTCCTTTTCCCCCACACCTCTCCTCTGCCCACCCTGCCCCCAGCAGGGCAGCGCTGCTCCAGGGCTCCAGCAGAGGACGCACTCCTTTCTCTTTGCTGCGTGTACCCACGTGGCTTCTCTCTCAAACCCCTCCCCCCTCCCTGTCCTTATCAGTCCCTTCTGTCTCCATGGCGACTCACCACCTCGGCTTGCCTGCATCCCAGCTTCTGCCAGGGATTCTGAGCCAGGCTCCATCCCTCCCTCCTTAGAGCCCTGGTACCCGCAGCCCTGTCTCCTCCCCCTGGGTGAGCCCAGCAGCAGCCTCCTCGTTCCTGACTGTCACATTCTTTTCCAGCTCTGACGGGAAGTCAGCAATCAGGAGACCATCCCCCTACCTCACCCTCCACCTGCCACAAACCGGCCAGCCCTTCCAGGAGAAAATCCATCCTTACCTCTGACTGAAGGTCTCTGGGCCTTCCTGCTGTGTCCAGACCCTCTTCCCATCCCAGCCTCCCATGCCGAGGCCCACCTTGTCAGTCACTTCCTTTTGTCATCGGCTTGGCAAACGGGCAAGTCTTCAGTCCTAAGATGGGGAGGAGAATGGGAGCGTGGAGGTGGGAGGGGGCTGCTGGGGGTGGGGGATGGGTCTGGGGAGGGAGGCTGAGGGGCCCTGGAAACCCAGTAGGAAGATAGAAGGCTGGATTCTGTTCTAAATATCTTTTTTTTTTTTTTTAATTCCTCTCCAAGGAGAGAAAACGGAGCTTCATGGGAAACAGCAGCAACAGTTGGTAAGTGACAGGGCCTGTGGGCTGGGGTTGGTGCAGTGGGCCTGGCAGGTCGGCTGGAAAGGAGCCCTGTGGGGCCCAGCCCACAGCATCTTGTCTTGGGAGGGCTTTCCCTGGGGAGGGAGCACAAGGCTGGATCCGCCCGGCTGAGGAAGGAGGAACAGGGAGAAGCAAGTGGGTGCTGCAGGGTGGCAGATGCCAGCTCAGAGCAGAGAGGGGAAGGAATCTTCTGAGATCCAGAACCATCTGCCCAAATGCAGAGCGGGCAGCTTGGGTGCCAGGAGGTGACACCCTCTCTTTGCTGTGCCCATGGCAGGGGGCTGGAGAGGACATCACCCCTAGGGAGATCTGGCTGAAGGCAGCACCTCCTGAGGGGCCCCTGCTTGTAGGAGGCTTTCTGCCAGGACTTTCCTGAGCATTTGTACCAGTCACTGGGCAGACAGATGCATGTGCATCGTCTCCAATGATTAGCCCAGCGGCCCCTCCATTTGGACAGTTAGGAAATTGGGGCCTAACTGTCAGAAAGACAGCTCAGAGCAGAGAGAAAGAACTTGGGTAAGATGTGGTGGGGCCAGGGCCACCAGGCCTTCTCCCTGTCAGAGTCTCTCCTGCTCTCTGCCCCTGCTCTGGGGCCTCCAGGTCTTGGGGTGCAAGGCAGTGAGGAAAGAGCAGAGGTCACTCTGGGGGCAGCTCTGACTGTCCTTGGAGGCCCCCGGGGAAACAGGACCTCCACTCCTAGGCCGCCTGCCTTTCCTCCAGAGCCCTGTGCCAGACAGACATCTTGGTTTTGAGTGGTCTGTCCTGCCCCACAGGTCCCACGTGCCGTTCCCCAAGTTGGAGCTGGGCCTGGGGCCCCGGCCCGTGGCGCCCGGGGAGCTGCCTGCCTGCTCCATCTGCCTGGAGAGGCTGCGCGAGCCCATCTCGCTGGACTGCGGCCATGACTTCTGTGCTCGCTGCTTCAGCACGCACCGCACCCCGGGCTGTGGGCCGCCCTGCTGTCCCGAGTGCCGCAAGATCTGCAAGCAGAAGAAGGGGCTCCGCAGCCTGGGGGAGAAGATGAAACTTCTGCCGCAGCGGCTGCCACCGCCCATGCTGCAGGTCCGTGAAGGGGCCTCAGGGCAGTATGGGGGAAAGGGGGGTCTGGGTCAGGTCTGAGAGGAGGGCGGCTTCAGCCCTGTTCCCGGGCGTCAGGTGGGCAGGAGCTCCAGGCTGGACATGCTCCAGACTTGGGGTGCTCAGGGGCCTCCCTTCCTCCTGCCCAGGAGGCCTGCACTGTGCGGGCTGAGCCGCTGTTGCTGGTGCGCCTCAGCGCCTCCGGGGGCCTCATACTCAGGATGGGGGCCATCAACCGCTGCCTGAAGCACCCTCTGGCCAGGGACACCCCAGTCTGCCTCCTCGCCGTCCTGGGGGAGCAGCACTCAGGGAAGTCCTGCCTTCTCAGCCACTTGCTTCGGGGCTTGCCGGGCCTGGTGAGGGCCGGGCTGGGCAGAAGTTGGAGGGGCACGGCTGGGGGCAAACCTGGCTCTGGGTTGGAGGAGTGTGGGTTTGGAGCCCCGTCTGCGGGGACAAGAAACAGACCAACCGCTGCCTCCCTTCTCTTCCCTGCAGGAGTCCAGCGAGGGCAGCTGGCCGAGAGGAGAGGGGTCCTTACAGGGGGGTGGTTGGGGAAGCAATAGCCTCACCAGGGGCATATGGATGTGGAGTCACCCCTTCCTGCTGGGGAAAGAAGGAAGAAAGGTGAGAGGGAGGAAGGGCAGGAGGAGGCCAAGGTTGGCTCAAGGAGGGGAGGGGCCCGGGAGCAAGAGAAAGCAGAGATGGACACAGAGGCCGGGATCAGAAGGACATGGTGGGGTGAGGACAAGAAGACTGGGTGGGACAGAGGCAGGAGGGCGGGGGCGGGGGCATGTGGGGAGCAAGGCAGGCCTGCCCTCTTGTTCGTCCCCCATCTTGCATAGGTAGCTGTGTTCCTGGTGGACACAGGGGATGCCATGAGCCCGGAGCTGAGCAGAGAGATGAGGATCAAGTTGTGTGCCCTCACCACCATGCTGAGCTCCTACCAGGTCAGGGTGCTACCTCTGGGCCCAGGCATCTCACAGGGTGTCGGGTACCCCTGGAGGGGGGAAGTTGCACCCAGTCGGTGAAGGTGGGCAGTGGGTTGTTCTGAAGGTGGGCTGGTGGTCTCAGGCCACAGAAGGCCTGGAAGATTGTGCTGTGTGGCTGCTGGGGAGGCCCTTCCTCCCAGGTCTTCCCAGGATGGCTTTGCCTCTGCAGACCCTCTTGCATCTTGCTCTCCTTGGTTCCAGATCCTCAGCACCTCACTGGAGCTGCAGGATACAGACCTGGACTACCTGGAGGTGAGGATACCGCCCATGTCAGGCATCCCCTCCCTGGCCTGCTGCCTGGGCTGGGGCTGGACCAGAGGGAATGAGGTGCCTCCCTCTCTGGCCTAGGTTTTTAGGACGGTAAACTAGGTTGGTGGGTTTGAGGGCAGAGGACAAAGTATGAGATGCTGGGTTTAGGGAGAGGCTGGAGGATCCCAGGCTGGAAACGGGAAGCTTGGTTCCCACTGCAGGAGCAGGAGGTGGGGAGGCAGGCTTGGGGCAGACCATTGTCCTCGAAGTGGCCTGGCACTGACACTCTCTGTGCCCCACCCCAGATGTTTGTCCATGTGGCCGAGGTGATGGGCAAGCATTATGGGATGGTGCCAATCCAGGTAAGACACTCATTTCTGGATCACCAGCCCCAGACCTGACACCCTCAGTCGCTGGTGTCAGGACCCTTCTCTTCCAGCACCTGGATCTCTTAGTTCGTGACTCCTCCCACACTAGCCAGGCAGGACACAGGCACGTGAGTGACATCCTCCAGGTGAGCAGTGTGCAGGGCAGGGGCAGAGGTGAGGGAGGCTGGTCTCCTAACTCAGGGCTCCCCTCATCCTCTCTCTCAGAGACTGTCCGGCAAGTATCCCAAGGTCCAGGAGCTGCTCCAAGGGAGACGGGCCCGCTGTTACCTCCTGCCCACTCCACAGAGGCAGTGGAAGGACAAAGGCCAAGGGAGCCCTGGTGGTGAGTGTCCCCAGGACACCCCTGTGTTGCTCCCCACCCTTCTCCTGGGCACCTGTGACCCCTCAAAGAATCCCTCTCAAAGCCCCATCTCCTCAGCATGGGAATCTCTTCCTCAGATGCAGATGACAATCTCCACCACCATCTCAGGGCATACGTCTCGGATGTGCTCAGTGCGGCCCCCCAGCACGCTAAGAGCCGCTGCCAGGGGTACTGGAACGAGGGGCGCGCCATGGCCAGGGGGGACCGACGCCTGCTCACGGGACAGCAGCTCGCTCAGGAGATCAAGGTGTGAAAAACTCCCTGGAGACCCAAGTGACTTGGCTGGTCCCCTGCTCTCCCTGACCTCAGCAATGGTGTCTCTGCAGAACCTCTCAGGCTGGATGGGGAGGACAGGGCCCGGTTTCAGCTCTCCGGATGAGGTACGGGTCAGGTCTGGGAGGGAGGTGGGGTCTGTGCCCTGGGAGGTGAGGAGGAAGGAGGGAGGCAGCCTGGGTTTTCCGTGGACAGATGGCCGCGCAGCTACACGACCTGAGGAAGGTGGAGACAGCCAAGAGGGAGTTTGAGGAGTACGTGAGGCAGCAGGTGAGCCCTGGGCTGGCAGGGGGTAGATGTGCAGCCAGAGGGCACATCTCGGTCCCCTGGTCAGGGCACCTCCTCCCCTTTGCCCACCTAGGACATAGCCACCAAGCGCATCTTCTCTGCCCTGCGGGTCCTGCCTGACACCATGAGGAACCTCCTCTCCACCCAGAAAGATGCTATCCTGGCACGCCACGGTGTGGCCTTGCTATGTAAGGGGAGAGAGCAGACCTTGGAGGCGCTGGAGGCCGAGCTGCAGGCCACAGCCAAGGCCTTCATGGACTCCTACACGATGCGCTTCTGCGGCCACCTGGCTGCTGTGGGGGGCGCTGTGGGGGCCGGGCTCATGGGCCTGGCGGGGGGTGTAGTGGGCGCGGGCATGGCAGCGGCCGCGCTGGCTGCCGAGGCTGGGATGGTGGCGGCTGGAGCTGCAGTGGGGGCAACTGGGGCCGCTGTGGTCGGGGGCGGCGTGGGGGCTGGGTTAGCTGCCACTGTGGGCTGCATGGAGAAGGAGGAGGACGAACGGGTGCAGGAAGGGGACCGAGAGCCCCTTCTCCAGGAAGAGTAACCACCCCAGGAGGGGACAAAGGGCTGGCGATGCGAGGTGGGGGAGAGGAAGAGAAGGGGCCTCGTGTGCTGCACTGCCCTGGTTGAATGAACAGCTCCCCAGCAGCTGGCTGAGGGGCTCAGGTGGCTCCAGGAACACGGGGAGGCTGCAGTTGGGGGATACCTGGCCTGTTGCTGGCTGTAGACTGTGGCTGGTTTGTAGCTGTCCCAGATAGGCTGCATCTGAGGCTCCATCACCCTGCCCAGCTCTTTTCCCTGATGTCCCCGGATGGTAGAAAGACCATGTGGGTACTATCCTTGAGGTCCAGCCCTAGGTGGTCAAGAGGCCTGTCCCATGGCTGGCCTTGGTGTTCAGGAGCAGGAGACTTGATGAGGGGCTGGGGAAGGTGGGGAACGGGGAGCACTGAGCAGAGCCAGGGGCAGGGCAGGCCAGGGCCCAGACCCCAGAGCAGAGAGACTTGCCTCCAAACTTCCCAAGGCGGCTCCAGCAGCACTAAGGTGGCTCTCACTGCTGGCTACAGCCCAAGGACCTGAACTCCCTGCCTGGGCCTCCTCCAGGCCTCTTCTGGGCCATGCCCTTTGTGGACAGCCCTCACCATGACTGGCTAAATGCCAAAGAATAACACCTTTAGCTGCATCCTGAGCTAAAGCAGACAGACTTTATAATAGAGTCTATCAATGTCTTGCAAGGAAAATAAAGTGAACAAATTCTATCCTTAAGCACACTCCCCCTGGGGCCTCCACTCCGCTGCAGAAGAGGCCCCTGCCGCCGTTCCCCAGACACCACACCCTGAAGGAAACTCGGGGCGGGTTGTTTATCTCCAGGGGACAGAAAGTCCTATTAGGAAGACTTGTAGGCTATTAAGCTGTGAAGGATAGGTGGGCACATTATTCTTTATTTTATGAAAAATAAAATATGTAAACATGAACGTCAGCTTCCTAGTACATTATTGAAACAGAGTTCCATCCCCAGGGGGCTTCAGGGTAGGAGGTCATGAGCCATAGAATTCCAGCACTGGGCAGGGGAGATTGGTACTTCAGAATGATCTGAGGGGCTGAGTGTCAGGGTCCCCACTCGGTGGTTGCAGAAGGGCTCAGGCCAAGGCCAAGGCCAAGTGCATGGCCACCTTTGTACACTCAATCACGAAGACTGGGGGTTCTTTCTCTCTTGTCTCTGCTCTGAGAAACACCTGCAAAGCCCCAGTCAACAGGCAGTCAGTGAGCACCTGTCCCAGCAAGAGGACAGAACAGAGGCATGAAGGGGAGGCCCTGGTAAAGCTGTGGGGAAGGAGGAACCCAGGACCAATTCCGCAGGGCTCAGCCAGCTGGGAGTTCACCTGGCCAGCTCAGAATTACAACAGTAGCCACTGCCACTGCGTGCAGATCCTGCATTTGTTTTATGAGCGGAAATCTCAGATGAGGCTGTGCAGCTGGCTGACGGCAGAAGCAGGGGAACCCCGAAGTCCCAGTCCCCAAGCTACTGCTGTTCCACAGATCACAGAGCTATTTCTTGAGGTCAGTTGTGCTAAAACAGAGCCCCTGCTTCCCACTGATCAGCTCTGGGAAACAGTGTGTTGGGGAGAGGGGCACACATGGGGAGCCACAGTCAGGGACAGATGGCTCAACAATAGCAGTTAACAAGCTAGGGACAAAATACATATTGTAGAGAACTCCCAAAGCCAGGGTGAGGGTGAGGGGATTAAGGACAGATGAGAGTGACTCTCTTATGGGAACTGGGCCAAGGGTGGGGACAGGGTCTTAACTTTGTGTAGTGTTTGTGGAGAAAGGCTTTCTGGAAGTATCTGTCCAAGTCCTTCCAATGTCATCTGGTGAACATATGAGCTACACAACCTTCCAGACCTTGGGGCTAGCAGGCTCAGAGATTGGGGGCCAGTTTGTGTGGCACTGAAGGAGTGTCCAGCTCTTTGACAGGTGGGTAGAGGTTGGCCCAGGGGGGGCGTCTCTGTAGAGACGAGATGAGTAATGTTAAGTGGTACTGTCTTATGCCTTATAGATTTCAAAACATTTCCCCAGACATCATCTCCTTTCGGCCTTGGAACCATCTCCTGTAGTACACAGAGTACACATTTTTACAGAAGATTCCAAAGCTCAGAGAAATTACTTGTCTCTGTTGAAAAACCTGAGCCAAGATGTGGACTCAAGATTTCTGAGGCTAGGGCGGCGCCTGTGGCTCAGTGAGTAGGGCGCCGGCCCCACATACCGAGGGTAGCAGGTTCAAACCCGGCCTCAGCTGAACTGCAACCAAAAAATAGCTGAGCGTTGTGGCAGGCGCCTGTAGTCCCGGCTACTCAGGAGCCTGAGGCGGAAGAGTCACTTAGGCCCAGGAGTTGGAGGTTGCTGTGAGCTGTATGATGTCATAGCACTCTACCAAGGGCAACAAAGTGAGACTTTGTCTCAAAAAAAAAAAAAAAAAAAAAAAAAAGATTTCTGAGGCTAAATTCACTTGCTCAGTCTCTCCAGACTCCACGACCAGGCCTCTGGGTCCCAAACCCACTTACAATATTGATTTTATAACTCAAAAAGCAGGAGTGACTCTCTGACCAAGGTTAGCAGTGTGCTAAAGCATGATTGCTTCCCTCTGTGACCTGTTAAAGGTTGTCAATTCTAACATTTTGTTTTCTGGGTTAGAGATCTGGTAACTTACCTTGTACTTCCTATTTCTGAGGCCTCTATCCTGTTGAACTCGGCAGTACCGCAAAACAAAAGGAGGCTGAATCCTGAAGCCCCTTGGCTGCTAGGTGCCCCCTGTTGTGAGCAAGAAATAAAATTCTATAGCATTAAAAGTTTAGGAGACGGAAACATCAAAGTGAAGGTGACACCCCTGCCCTACCCTAGCTAACACAGAAAGGCGTTCCTCGAAATGGGGCGATGTTGTAACAAGCACCTAAAATGTCTCTAGTTGAGTGGTGGGCAGTAAGCAAAGGGCTGGGCTCATTTTATGTCATTATGGAGCGTTTGCTAAAACTGTCACTTACAATAACTTGGAAGGCAGATCTTGTGCTATTGAGGAAAAAAATTAAATAAAATCTCCTGCCAACCCAGAATTTTCTCTCCACAAATATGGAAAAGAAAGAAAATACTAGTTCTATTATTGAATAAGCATTAAACCAGACTGGGACGTATCACGTGTAATCTGCTCGTGTTCTAAGAAAATTTTCTAAGAAAAGGGAGGGGAGAAAAGATTTCTTTCCCTTTTGGAAACAAGGAAAATGCAATTTTATTTTTATTTACCCTTACAGTTTCTCCTTCTTGTTACTATTTTATAGTTACATTACAATTTATAATCTCCACTGCTGTTTTTATCTTTCTCTGGGCAGTTTACAGCCTTTTCTTTAAATTAATTTTTTCGGGTTTTTTTGAGACTGACTCTCACTCTGTCACGCAGGCTAGAGTGCCATGGTGTCAGCCTAGCTCACAACAACCTCAAACTCCTAGGTTCAAATAATCCTCCTGCCTCAAGCTCCCAAGTAGCTGGGACTACAGGTGCACACCACAACATCCAGCTAATTATTCTATTTTTTGTAGAAATGGGGTCTTGCTCTTGCTCAGGTTGGTCTTGAATTCCTGAGCTCAAGGGATCCTTCTGCATCGGCTTCCCAGAATGCTAGGATTACAGGTGTGAGCTGCAGCACCTGGCCTGAAGCCATTTAAATGTTCAGCAAGATGAATATAACACAAAGCTGCCGAAGTCCATTCGGACAATTACAGCAGAATACCATAGCCCAGGTGGCTTACAAACAATGAAAATTTATTTCTCACAGTTCTGCAGACCAGAAGCCCAAGATGGAGACTCCAGTAGATCTGGTGTCTGGTGAGGGCCTGTTCCTCACAGATCACCATCTTACTATAAACACAGATGGGGCAGAGTAAAGGGTCTCTCTGAGGTCTCATTTATAAAGGCACAAATCTCATTCATGAGGTCTCTGTTCTTCTGACCTAATCACCTCTCAAAGGCCCCACCCCCAATCAGCATCACTTTGGGCTTAGGATTTCAACATATGAATTTGGGGTAGACAGAAACATTCAGTCCATTGCAAAAGTGATACTCAATATCCCAATGGGATAAATTTCAAAAGTCAGTACAAGACCAGGTGTGGTGTGGCTCACACCTATAATCCTAGCTCTCTGGGAGCTCAAGGCAGATGGATTGCTTGAGCTCAGGAGTTCGAGACCAGCCTGAGCAAGAGTGAGACCCCATCTCTACTAAAAATACAAAAAACTAGCTGGGTGTGGTGGTGGGCACTTGTAGTCCCAAGTACTTGGGAGGCTGAAGCATGAGGATAGCTTGAGCCCATGTGTTTGAGGTTACTGTGAGCTGTGATAACACCACAGCACTCTAGCCTGGGGCAACAGAGTGAGATTCAGTCTCAAAAAAACAATTTTCTTTCCAGAGGTTTTCTTCTTTTTTTTTTGAGACATGAGCCTCAAGCTGTCCCCCTGGGTAGAATGCCGTGGCATCACAGCTCACAGCAACCTCCAACTCCTGGGCTCAAGCGAGTCTCCTGCCTCAGCCTCCCGAGTAGCTGGGACCACAGGCGCCTGCCACAACACCCAGCTATTTTTTGGTTGCAGCTGGCATTGTTGTTTGGCAGGCCTGGGCTGGATTCGAACCCGCCACCTTGGGTGTACATGGCTGGCACCTTAGCCACTTGAGCCACAGGCGCTGAGCCCAGAGGTTTTCTTCTAAGGCCCCATACATTTCTCCTAAGTTCCCATTAAGCATGTAAGTAACCTCACTCTTTGTTAATTGTTTACCATCCTAAATAACATTTCCCAGATGCAAAACACGAATTTAATATCAAAGCCTTCTCATGAGGAACTTTTGGAAGGTTACAGATTTGTTTCCATAGTTTAAAGTCCATGGTGTTAATTGTGTTAGGTCTTGAGGACAAACCCATCCATAATCTGTTTTTCACAGTCTCCAAATCAATAGTTGCATTATTATAGGAGTATTATACATTCATGCTAAACTGCTGATGAAATCTCAGAACTTTTTGGTAGCTAATTGCTAAGCTGTTTTATTGCTGAGCGCC